CACAAACATAAGGGGGCATGGATATAATCAAGCCTGGGAAGGCCTTAAGGCAGTTGTAGCTTGCCCTGCCTTCACAGCCTACTCTTTTTTTTTTTAAGATTTTATTTATTCATCTGACAGACAGAGATCACAAGTAGGCAGAGAGGCAGGCAGAGAGAGAGGAGGAAGCAGGCTCCCTGCTGAGCAGAGAGCCCGATGTGGGGCTCGATCCCAGGACTCTGGGATCATGACGTGAGCCGAAGGCAGAGGCTTAACCCACCGGGCCACCCACGCGCCCTTCACACCCTACTCTTGACCTGCATATCATATCTCTGGCTAGAGACGAGAAGCTCTCATGCTTCAGCCTTTCTGCGTGTCCCTGGAGTCCAGCCACTTCCCTCCACGGTCCCCGCTCTTCAGGCCAGAATGGTCTGCCATCATGGTGACAGCTCCCCCGGGGCCGGGTTAGGTGAAAGTAAAATGTGGAACAACGAGATGGCAGCTCACACCAGTCAGAATGGCTAAAATGAACAAGTCAGGAAACCTTGACAGATGTTGGCGGGGAAAGCGGAACCCTCTTCCACTGCTGGGGGACGCAAGCTGGCGCAGCCAGTCCACAACCCAGGACAGAAGTTTCTCCACAAGTTAAAATAGCTCCCCTACGACCCAGCAACTGCTCTACTGGGTTTTTACCCAAAGGATATAAACACAGTGATTGGAAGGGGCACGTGCACCCCAATGTTTATAGCAGCAACGTCCACAAAAGCCAAACTATGGAAAGAGCCCAGACATCTGTCCATTGACAGATGAATGGATAATGAAGATGTGGTATCGATAACACAATGGAATAGTACTCAGCCATCACAAAGAATGACGTCTCGTGGGCGCCTGGGTGGCTCAGTGGGTTAAGCCTCTGCCTTCGGCTCAGGTCATGATCTCAGGGTCCATATCGGGCTCTCTGCTCAGCAGGGAGCCCACTTCTCCCCCCCCCAACCCCTGCCCGCCCTTCTGCCCACTTTGTGCCCCCTTCTTTCAAAAAAAAAAAAAAAAATTTTAAAAAAAAAAAAAAAAAAAAGAATGACATCTCGTCATTGGCAATGATGTGGATGGAACTAGAGGGTACGATGCTAAGCTATAGAAGTCAGTTAGAAAGACAAACACCGTATGACTTCACTCCGTGGAATTTAAGAAACGAAAAAGATAAACATAGGGGAAGGGAAGGAAAACTAAAATAAGATGAAATCAGAGAGGGAGAGAAACCGTAAGAGATTCTCAACTCTAGGAAACAAACTGAGAGCTGCTGGAGGGGAGGGGGCTGCGGGGACAGGGTAATTGGGTGATGGCCATGGAGGAGGGCACGTGACGGACTGAGCGCTGGGTGTTGCATGCAACTGACGAATCCCTGAATTCTGCCTCTGAGACTAACAACGCGATGTATGTTAATTATATTGAATTTAAATTAAAAAATGTAAAAATAAGGGGCGCCTGGGTGGCTCAGTGGGTTAAAGCCTCTGCCTTCAGCTCAGGTCATGATCTCAGGGTCCTGGGATCAAGCCCCGCATCGGGCTTCTCTGCTCAGCAGGGAGCCTGCTTCCTCCTCTCTCTCTCTCTCTGCCTGCCTCTCTGCCTACTTGTGATCTCTGTCAAATAAATAAATAAAATCTTAAAAAAAAAAAAGTAAAAATAAATAAATTAGTGAATATTTATCACAAATACCACCTTTGAAAGTAGAATAGTGGAATCTTGCCCCAGGAAATTACAGAAGTCTGCTCGTTATCCCTATGCTTTGTGTTATTCAGGCAAGAAAAATAAACACAAGTATCAGAGGGGGGGAAAAAAAGTAAAATGTGGAAGAGAGGAAGGTAAAGGAAGGGGCTAGGGAAATGCTGGGTGAGCCTCCTTCCTAGCAGACCCAAGCTACTCAACAACCCCAGATGTTCTCTCAATGGTCAGCAGCTCCGCGAGGACGCCCGGTCCGGAAGCGGACCAGGGCACGTGTGACTGTCCCGGAGCTGGGATGACAAAGCCTTTGCCTATCCACATAAGGATGGCCCCCTAGGCAGTAACCCAGCTACAGTGCTCCCCTGAGTGTCAAAGAGCGCTGTTGGCAGCGCGGAGACAGGGAGATGGGGCAACACAAAGGCCAAGTTAAGTGCCTTCTGGAAAACTGTGGATGTATTATTGGAAGGCAGTGCTAGAGAGCATGAGGCTTCTGCTCGCAAAAGCACAGACACATACGGCGCACAGCAGGGGGGTGTCAGCCCCCCAAGGGTGCAAGCGCTGGGAAGACTGCGGGTACCTCACACCACGGGCCCCGAGTCACGTGGCTCTGGGGAAACCCCCAGGTGGTAGCTTCCTGATCAGGGCAGGACAACGGTGCCCAAGGGAATGACCACACTCCGTCCCGTGCTGCAAACAGGCCCACTGACAACATCCAAGCGGGCAGAGATGGGGTGACACTAGCTGTGTGGGGCAGGTAGCACCTTGCTTCCTCCGCAGACACCCAGAAGCCGGCAGTCCAGAGCCAGGGTATCGTCTCGGTCTCAGGGGGAGAGCAGGGTTTTTATGGGAGCAGCAGCCCGGGGCTACCTGAAGCCCGCCCTTCTAGGGCTCTCCCTGACACAGCAGCTGCTCCTTTCCCTCCTGCAGCTTCGGCTGGCTGGAGGTCCCCCCTGTCCCTTCTCGGCCTCCCAGAGTCTCCCTACCATTTCCCTGCCCCTCCTCCACATCACTCCGTTCTGCAACCCGTCCCTGCCCGCCCCAGGCTTCCACCGAGGAAGCAGAGCAGGACCCGGGCACGTGGAAGGAGCCACATCTGCCAGCAACATGGAAACAGCCAAGGAAAAGGGAGCCACAAGAAGACATTTCTGGATGGGCCGCCTGGAGTCTGCAAGACGCCCCAAAGCGAGAGCACGCGTCCCAGAGAGGGGGCGGTTAGGGACAGCGTTTAGTCCCTTGTGCTCTTGGCCTCTACGAGTTAATGATTTGTGCCAAGTGGGGAGTCTGTCATGCTTCTGTAATTTATTTGGGGCGAGGGACGGGAGGCTGGAGGAGACACTGACCATCTGTGAGTCCCAGGAAGGCCTGGGAGACGACCTTGCATGGGGGCTCATTGCGCAATCAGGGAGGGTTTCCAGCTGCAGGGCTCAGGCAGGAAGCGGGTCTGGCCACTCTCAGCTCCTCTGCCGTCTCCCCCTTATGTGTCGCCAGAGCCCCTGAGTTCTGGGCCCTTGCGGTGACTGGCATCCATTCCTATCCCTCACTCTGCGAGGGTTCAGGGGTCCGCTGGGCCTGCGGGGGCGGAGGGAGGCCCTGAGGTGACAGAATGGGGAAGCCACGGAGGGTAAGGAAAACCTGCTGGCTGGTAGCAGAGAGGGAGGGGGAGCCAGCCCCAAAATGGAAATCAGAGAAAGGAGAGGAGGAACCAGAGACAAAGGGCGTGGAGTCAAGGAAAGGGAAAGCAAGCTAGAACAGAAGAGCCTGACTGAGAGAAAGAGAGCGACAAGGGGGTGGGGGGACCTGCATGTCCAAATTTGGCTGTTTCAATGGTCTAACATGTCTGCAGCCAGCTGTTTCCTGTTCCCTCTGGGGCATTAATTTTGCAATGCCGCTCAGAGTGGTGGAGGCTTTATCAGGCAAAGGATGCTGGAGGCCCCACATGGCTCCCAAGAAAGTGCCCCCCCACTCCTCCCTCACAGAAGCAGCTTCTGTTGCCTCCAGGATTTGAGCTCTAAGCCGCGCGGGGGCTGAAGACCACGGCAGGTCCAAAGGGAAGGGATGGGGAACGAGGGGGCGTCGTCTGGCTTCTCCTCGACACAGGCCACCTCAGCCCACCTCAGCCCACAGCTCAACCCCGTCAGGGCAGCCCTCCAGCCTCCGCCTCGGGGGCGCCAGGCTCGGTGGGCAGAGCTCCCCAGGGACAGGCAGGGCCGCTGAGCAGCAAGAGGTCAGAAGCCACAGGGCTGACCAGGTGTCCCTGAGCCGTGTGTGAAAATATCCCCCTACCCCACCCCACCCCACCCTAGGATCAGAAACAAGCCCCTACATGAAATGCAAGCCTCCCCTCCCCCCCCAGGCGTGCACAGCCCCCCTCGCTCCCAGCCACCTTCTCCCCTACCCCCTCCACATGCCCATGAGGCCCCCTGGGGTACAGCCCGGCCAGGGGCAGCGGGCAGTGGTACCTGCATGATCAAGCAGACCGACTGTGGGGGGCGCCAGGCCCCGGGCGGAACGACCGAGGCCTGAGGCCAGGCCCTCTGTGGCCCAGACCCAGAGGGCAGAGTGCAGTGTGGCCGGATGGCTGAGACCTCAGTCAGCTGCTCTCGGGGTGGGGGTGGGGGGTTCAAAAAGCTGCCGCCCAGTCTGTGTGGTGGGGGCTGTGGTCCTGGATGGGACGGCTTCGTCCACAACACAAGTTCTGGCTACGGAGTGGCTGGGTGAGCCGCCACCATGGACGACCCCAGGCTACACCTGCACGACAGACCCAGGAGCAGTGGTTGTCTTCTAGAAGGCACACGCCTCTTGGGCTAGCTGAGGTGGGCCTTGGGGCAGAGGTCAAATTCCGTCACATGGAATGGCCTCTCTACTATCAGAGAAAAGTCTGGCTGCATTTTCCCCAAAATGTCTCTACCAAGGGAAGGAAACCTTGGTCCTAAGTTTAGGCCCCGGAGCTGTCCCCATCCCAGAATTCCGTGTGGTCTTTGGATGCCTCCCCCGCCTGGTCCCCTCCACTGGGGCTGGAGGAGCCCTGTCCACAAGTGTAAGGGAGGATACGGAGGGCCATCCCTCCTTGGTCTGTCCTGACTCAAAGCCTCCTTCACCAGCAGTCCTGTCCTGCTGCAGAGAGGATAACCAGCGTGTTTGGTCTTTAGGGGCAGGGGCCAGCCAGGGGCCCATGAGCTGGCTCAAGCCCCTGGGGCAGCCCAACTGCACTCCGCCCCTCTCCCTTCCGACCGCTTCCACCCTCCCCCCACACCCCCACTTCCCATGCACCCGACCAGAAGAGAAACAGGGATACTTACATTATACCAACTCTGGCTTTTCTGAAAGGACAAAATAAGAGAAGGTACCATTAGTCAGGGAAGAGATAGCGGGAATGGCCAGGGTAGGCCCGGCCTCCTGAGGGAAGGTTACACAGACAGCAGAGGGCGGGCAGGGAAGAGGAACCCCAATGCAGCTGAATGCTTCCCAGGTGGCTGCTCGAGAGGGGTCCTCCTTTCTCAAGACAGATCCAGAAAGGAGGCCCAGGGCAGGTCCATGCTGGAAGCCTCACCAAGGTCGGGGCGGCAGGCAGCGGCAGCACCAGCCAGAGCTCAGCTGGAAGGGAGTCGGAGCCCCATCACGAGCTTCTCTGATGGGGGGAAAGGATGCGCGGCAGGCATCCGAGACCCAGTCCCCAGATGGGCCCTGACCAGAAGCAAAGTGCAGACAGAGACCAACCCAGCCTTCCGCCCCAAGTCAGCCCCTCTGCGCAAGGCAGGAGGGGACTCTTTGGGGAAAGGAAGAGAAGGGGCTGCCTGGAAACCTCTTCCAGCTACGTTCTCGGGGAGCAGAGGAGGCCATTTCTCCTTCCACTCCACAACTGGCCGATGAGGTGAGAGAGGCTGGGGAGTACCAGGGGTTCTGCCCTGGGAGGAAGGTCGAAACTCATCACTGCTTATGGTGCCTCCCAGCTTCAAGGTGCTGTCATTCTGTTACCCACAAAATCAAGACTCCGGGCCAGCTCCAGAATCCAGGTGCTCTCAGCTCCCAGCCCTGGGCAAAGGTGACTCGTTTTCATGGCAACTGAGAGGTGTGGCTGACACTGTGCTCTGTTTACCCCCAATCTCTATGGCCAGGAGTCCTTTATGCACACCCCGCTTGGAAGACAGACAAGTAGATAGGAGCGCGCGTGTGCGTGCATGCACACGCACACGCACACACACACACACACACACATACACAAACACACACACACACAGAGCTGCTGGGCCCCAACCCTTGAGGTGCTGATCCAACAGTTTTAGACTGGAGATGGAGTATTTTCGGTACTAAGAAGCTTGCCAAAGGCATTAACTGCAGCGAGAATCACTAGGTCGGGGAAACCGTGCCTGCATGTCAACCACTACACACAGAGGTGGGGATTCTGGGCCCAACTGCAACCTTCATCCCCCCTCACCTTGTCTAACAGGTCCAGACTCATAAGGGAAAGAAAGGGCAGTCACGGGCTCAGAATGTCTACTGGGAGTGTCTCTGGTGGGGGTGGAGGGCGGGTGACTAAAGCGTGGTCGTGCGACCTCCCCCTTCGCCAGCTCTCTCTCTCTCCACCGGAAGGACTCTCTAGATGCTCTCCCCATAGTCGCTTCCCAACAAAGGCTGTCACTACGGCCCATCTGCAAGCCACATGCTCAAACCACGGCCTTACCCTCTCCTCTAATCCAGAGGTCTTAGCGGGGAAAGGGGCCCCATCTGACTACTTACAACCAACTGTTGCCCTGCTGAGGGAGCTACAGTCACAGTCTTCGCCTGCAAACATCTGGCAAAGGCCACCCGTACCTGGAGGAGAGGGATGGGGCACAGGCTGTGTCTGCCCTGACCTGCACCTTGGGAGGTCTTCACTCCTGGGGCCCGCCCTGAGATCACGTGGCACCAGGCTGTGCAGGCATTCCCTGAGCCCCATCCCCCAGCAGTGGAGAGGTGCCGTCAGCCTCCATGGCCCCTCAGGTCCCAGCACTTCATCAACCTGAAGCCAGGCCCTCAGACACCTGCTTCACAGTTGAGAAAATGCTCTGTCACCTGCCCCCTGGCTCCTTACCCACTGTCCTGGCTTTCACAGAAGACCCCAGGAGGGAAGGGGGAACAGGAATGAACTTGGGCTGGGTGCGGGGACCCAAGAACCTTTACGATTATTCCTATGTGGTGTTCTCGCTCCTGCCTAAGGTACACAGAAGTAGATTTTTTTTCTTCCTATACTGCCACACAGCTATGCGTGCTTTCTCAATCTGCTTCGAACAAAGGGCTTCAGAATGACAAAGAGCCTTGACCACGGAACCTGTGTCACATCTCTGTGTGACACCTTTGTGTGTGATATTTGCTCTTCTGGAAAGGGGTGGGGGGAGAAGAATTTGTGCTCCCAAGTACTGAAATGTGAAATGTACCATCAAAAGCGAGGACTTCTGTCTTCTCCCTCAGCGTGAGACTCTACCCCAACCAGCCATCTCCAGGCACACTGGGAGTACCTCTGGGGAAAATGCCCCCCCCAACCGGATCCGTAGTAGCTCCTGAGAACACCCACTGTGGGCACGGGTCTCTGAACTCTGACCAGCCTCCTGGAGGCAAATTCCACCCTCGTGGCTTTGCTCTCCCAGGGCTGAGTGCCCAGCTCGGGGCGGGGGGGTGGTGCAGAGAAACCAGAGGGAGCTTCCAGGCCCCGGTGCAGCGAGAACAGAGGTGTCCCCTGGCATGAGTTAGGCTGTCTGCTCTTGCAGGTTCCCTGAAATGCCTCTCCTCTGCAGAGAAGGTCAGAAGCGTGGGGAAAAAGAGAACTAGGCATGGGGTTGAAGGCTTTTCCGACAGGTCATAAATGGATTTGGCTAGAAAGGGGAGGGCGTCAGGGAAAGTACTCAAAGACAGAGTGGAACACATTTCTATCACCTCCTGGAAGGGGTCTCAAGAACGAGCACTAAAGGAATGCAAGGCCCCTAGAGACAGACCCATGTTCCCTAAAAACATCTCCCCAGTGCAAAGGCTCCTGGAGTTGGGAAGATGGGGACAGGGGGACCAGAGGAGGGGGAGAGAGGAGCTCTACTTAGAGGAGGTCAGAAATAAGAGAGACTTCTTACTTTGATCAGGTTAAGTCTGTCATACTGGAAAGAAAACCACAGAAATTAGAATTGAAAGACAAGTCAAAAGTCAAGGGGAGAGGAGCAGCAAAGCCACTGAGCCGGGATGACACAGCTCAACCAGCCTGGGACCTGGGTTCTGGGAGGACCTCTGCAAGGGCCAACCTAGAGCAGGAGCTCCTGGCCGCACATAGCGGCCGCCAGCACCCCCTAGTGGCCTCAAGCCAGCACTACAGAGCAAAAGGTGGGTGGTGGCAGGAACTCAAGGGGTTTCAGGGAAGAGGAAAGAAGCCATGACCATCTTCTAGCCCGCTGCTCTGGGCAGGGCTGCTGCACCCAGGAAGGGTCAGGCTCCGCAGTCTAGTTACAGATTCACAGGTGTGGGGCCTTACTGATCCCCTACAGATTAACACGAGGAAATGGAGGCCCTGGGGAGGGGAGGCAGATACAGTAGGACACCTTGGCTCTAGGGACAAGGGGGAACCCTCTCCTGCTTGCCTGGAAAACAGAGGAGGTCTCCTCCTCTGTGAGGTGGATGGGAGGCACTGAGGGAGGTGGCCTGGCGGGGTAGCAACAGCCGCTCTGGCTACCACATCCCTTGCCATGAACAGGTTTGGTCAACCTGAGACAAGCATCTACCCAGAGGGTGGTGGGAGGGGTATCCCCACCTCACCTCTGTAGCTCTCCAAACTGGGGGACTCCCAGACTATGTGTCTGCCTCCCCTGAGCTCTTTAAAGGGAAAATAAAACCCAGCCCCCCTCACCTTCTCCCCCTGCCCCATCACCTCCTTATGAAAGGGGGAGCCACGATTCACTTGGAATTCGCCCTCAGCTCATGGTCCCTTCTTTATGCCTCATTTTGCCTCTCAGGGCCCCAGCCTGGCTTCTAACAGCCAGGTTTGGTTTGTGGACAATCTAGGCATGTGTCTTCTCTCCCCTCCTAGACTGTGCGCTGCCCAGGGCAGGTAACTGGTCTTTACGCTTGCTTCCCAGAGAAGAGCTGCCATTCAGCAGGAAAAGTTTAAAAATTCTCCTTACCGAGTGCTCGCCTCCACCCAGCACCTGGCTAAAGAGGCACCGGCCCCCCACGGGTGGGGACTGCAGGCCATCAGTAAGGTTTGCCTCGGCCACTGAGTGCCTTGCTAGGCATGGGGGTAAGAGGGCAAGAAGCCTGTAGCTTCACCTTGGGATGGAAAAGTGTGCAAAGTCCGTAGGCACGACAAGAGAGATGGAACAACCTGATGCGTGTGTCTGGCCCACACGGGTACTCTCCCCAGCCAGAGGGCTGAGGGGCCGGGGGTGTGTGCGTGCTGGCCGCACAGAGAACTCCCTCACACCAGGCAGAGCTCCTCTCCCCCTCCCTAGAGCAAGCAGCCACCGACTCAAGTCCTCGGAGGCAAGCTTTTAGCCTGAAGGTCACAGACTCTAGGATTAGCCCTGAAGTCTCTTGTTCTTCTCTCGGGAAAGAGAACAGCTGTTCGCCCTCCTCCTCCTCCCTAAAACACTTAGAGAGGCTCAAGACTATTATTAAGTCATTCCTCTGCTTTTTCTTCTCCGGGCGACATCCCACCTCCTTTCCCCCGTGGGGATTATTTCCTGAGCCTTGCTGTTCTAAAATACCTATTGCTCTCGCTGTACTCCCTGTGAGTTCTGCTCGGACCTCTGAGATCCCGGGGGACGGGGTTCAGGCGGCGGGGAGGCCGGGCAGACTCCAGCACTGACTCCCTGACCTGGCTGCATTGCTGCGAGGCCTGGAAGGGGCCACCATCCACGTCCACCAACTGCCAGACGTTAGCACCATGCCCTTCTGGGAGAACAGTTCCGCTCTAATCACAATTCGGGGTCCTGAGAACACCAGAGGCCATAGGGCTGGGCAGTGGGCAGGTAGAGGGAAGGAGGGTGCCAGGTGCAGCTCCTGAGGTCACTCTACCGCACCGGGGAACTCCCTATGGGCATCTGTCGGCCTCAGTCATCTCATCTGGGGAATTAGGACTCACCCAGTAAAGCAGGTATAAGGAGCCCTCAGGACCTGAAGCCCCTCTGGATGGGGCCTCCCTTCCCCAAACCAACGAAGGAAGCCCCGGCAGGACTCTGCTTCTAGATGGCTCCATGTAAGGAGGGAAGAGATTCCCAACCCAAGGCAGTGTTCGGGGAGCAGGCAGAGACTGGGGAGGATGGGGGACGGGTCTGTTCTCCGACTCTGGGCGCAAGAGGAATGGTCCCTCGGTAACGTCAAGCCAGCCTGCCATGGGGCAGTAGGGCCGGCCCTTCTGGGAAAGGGACCAAGCGAGACATGGGCCAGAGTGGGCGGGGGCGGAGGGAGGGGGTGCAGAGCACTACAGACAATTCAACACCGGAGGGGAGACCAAAGACAGAGACAAAAGATGGCTTACTTTTGAGAGGCGCTTGTGAGACTAAGACCATGCATGCAAAGGAGGTATTTGGGAAATGGTGGGGAAGAAGAGGAAGAACAAGAAATCAAAAGACAAATCAGATGGGAAGCCAGCTCCCGTGCCTCCCAGGGGCCCCTTCCCCTCCCCAGGGCCTGGGAGCCCAGCAGTAAACAGAAGCTTTTTGAAGGATCATCTAGGCAAAGAATATCTCCTGCTTCCCAAAGGACTGAGGAGGGGATAAGAAAATCTCTGGGGACCCAGGCACCCCCCTGGGGCTTATGTTATGCCTATTCTCAGGCAAAGGCCCAGGTCCTCAGGCAACAGCATCTTGGGAGGGACAGAGAGGCCTGGTCACCGCCCTCCCGGCCAAAGGACTACCAAGTGGGTTATTACCAAAGGTGGGGCAGAGAGACAGCCAGGGTGGACGTTAAAGACATCCCCCTTCCCAAGGACTCTCTTCCTGGCCCTGTTGTTGTCCCAAATCATGTTCCCTTCTACCCCAAATTTGAAAAGGGAAGCGGGACTAAACAGATGGTCCCTCCTAGTCCCCAGAGCACCCTTTCTCCAAATCTCAAGGTCCAGGAGGCTCCCTCACCCCAAGAGAGAGAACAGTCAGTGTGGAATCCTGTAACGAGTTCCCCCGGGGCACTCCGAGGGCTGAGCTGAGAAGAGAACACTGAGCTAGGGTCAACCCTGCCTGTCCCACCCTTGCCTCACTGACACAAGGGTCCTCGGGGAAAGGGCTCCCGCCTTGCCGCCCCCCCCCCTCCCCCGCACTGGCTTCCCTGCAGCCAGCTAAGGAGGAAGTGGAGAGGCCCCGGAGGGGTCCAGCTCACCTTGGAATTTTTGCCGCCACTCCGGCCAGACTGTGAGGAGCAGCTGCGCTGCACACCCTGCTCCGGCGTGGACGGGGACTTGTCCGAGGAGTGATCGGAGCCCTTCTCCACCATGGTGTCTCCGTCCGGGCTCTGCGGGGTTGGCGAGCGAGACCGTTTGCGGAGGATGGGGGAGCAGGCCGGCGTGCTGCGGTTTGAGTTACTGGCAGTGCTGCAGGGGCAGATGGAGAGAGGGAGTGGGGTGGGAAGGGAGGAGGAAAGACAGGCAGTCAGTGATTGAAGGCCAAAGCCGGGTCCCAAGGAGCCGGCTCAGGGAGCCAGGGCTGGGGCTGGGGAGAAACAGGGAGAGAAGGGCCCAGCTACGGGCTCACGGCACCGTAATACTGCTGCTGGCCAGGAGGGGGCGGTGGTGTCAACGGGAAATGGAAATGGGACTAGAAGGGGTAAGTAGGGCAATTAGACGTTTAGCTATTCATCCATCCATCCGACCATCTGTCTGTCCATCCATCCAAATATTGTCAGAGTCCCTATCACATGCCAAGAGCCGTCTCCAAAACAGAATTTAGGAGCTGAAAGACGCAGATCATCTAATACTGCAGATCCGGTTTCGACATTGTTTTACACGTATGTGCCTGTAAAAATGGTCAAGAATAATCCTACTTTTCAAAGCAGTCACATGCACGCTATTTTGCTAGCTTCTTAAAACAATCCTCCACGGAGGTAGTAATGACAAGTGCCATAATCCCTATTTTTTAAAAAAGCCCGTGCACCCCAGAGAGGAGCTCAAGTGTCCTCTGATCGCAGAGGCATTCGAAACAAAACCTGGGTCTCCTGACTTGCAACTCACGCACGCCGGAGGGAGTACTTCCTTGTAAGCCGTACTGCTCTCCGCATCCCCTGCCCAGGGCGAAGACGAACACAGCAGAATTCTCACCTTCCAGAGTCCCCGCCACTCAACCGTGTTTCCAACAAGTATCTTATATGCCCCACGGTCCTGAACCCCTGCACACCAAGGCTTATAAGCTGTGTATTTACTGGGGGATTCTGAGCTTCAGCTCTTGATGGAAAAGAAGGATAGAAGACAGAAGAGGGGAGGAAAACTGAATACTGTGACGTTCTAACAAGTGTTTGCTTTGGTCTGAGAGGACAGAGCAAGAGAAGTCAGGGCCAAGAACAAGGTTAAGTGGGAAAGAGGAGAAAAGGGAAGGAAAGCAAGGATGAGACTGCAAAGCCAAAGAAAGCATAAGGGCAGGGGGCAGATGAGAAGTCCAGGGTCTCTCTCACGCACTCAGTGGTGAGAGAGCAGGGCCAGGCTTCTGGAACAGCCCAGATCCAAGGCTGTGAGGGCCCCTTCATCCCAGCCTTCCCTAAGGGAGTGCCCTGCAGGGTGGGGAACACAGTCATTTGCATGAAGATCAAGCTGTGACCTCAGATGTCCCAAGGGACCCATTTGCAATGAAAACCATGTACATGTGGAGAAGTGAAAGACCTGAGGCTTTGCTTCACCCTAAAACAGATCGAAGTTTTAGATCTCACTTAAAATACTAACAATACCCTTGATTTAGAAAAAAGAAGCTAGGGGCACCTGGGTGGCTCAGTGGGTTGAGGCCTCTACCTTCGGCTCGGGTCATGGTCCTGGGGTCCTGGGATCGGGCCCCGCGTCGGGCTCTCTGCTCCGCAGGGAGCCTGCTTCCCTCTCTCTCTCCGCCTGCCTCTCTGCCTACTTGTGATCTCTGTCTGTCAATAAATGAAATCTTAAAAAAAAAAAAAAAGAAAAGAAAAAGAAAAAAGAAGCTCTTCGAGTTCTCATCCCGTCACCATCTTTATCCTCTGACCTGGCCCCAACTCATTCACGATGCAAACCCTGGAAAGAGGAAATTATGTTCCTTTTCTTGGGTTGGAAAAGCAGAGCCTTGGAATGGTGGCAAAGGGACGGTGGGATACGGCCGCCTCCAGAAGGAGGACTCAGGTGGTCACTGTAAGGACCTTATTTAGAAACTGTCCCTGCTCCCCTTCCCTCAGGGGATTTACTTGGAGACAAGTCCCAGAAACCAGCTTCAGGTAACAAAGCCCAGATACAAGGCCAGGTGGAGACATCCGATCAGTGGGGGGGATGCATACCGTCTCCCTGGTTACCGAGGAGTATGGTCCTTTTGGGCACCAATCCTAACCAAGGTGTGATAGGCTAAATCAAATGTCTACTAGGGTAAATTGTAACTCAATTGGTCACCTAGCATCACTGTGGAGTTTCCTGTGTGTGTTACAATCTCATTGGCCACCTGTTTGTGGCCAGGCCCGACCACATGGCCTTTGCCCTTAAAAGCTAGTCTGTAAAACAGAGAAGGGTCGCCTTCTTTTGCAAGAGGTGCGTCCCCGAACGTTTTCGGTTAGATTCTTGATGCTTGGCGCGAAATAAAGCTTTGCTTGACCTTCGCTTTATATCAGTCTCACTCCTTTAATCACGGACCCATTATCGGGGCATAACAGTCACCAGTATTCCGAGGATTAAACTGTCTTCTAGCATCACTTAGCTAGAAGCACGGCCAGGAACTCTACCCCTCACCTCAACGAGTTTGCTCACGGACACACCAGGGTGTGGACGACGCCTAGCACTGCCTGTCTCAGACCCAACATGCCCACAGCTCAGCTCCAGTTTTTCCCTTCCGTAATGGGACCTCGTAACACATGGTGATTCCAGGTGCAGCAATGAAAGGAGATCTCCTTATCCTCCAAACTCTCCAACACCCCTGAGAGCAGGCTGTCTGTCGAGGAGGGATTCAGTAAGGCATGGGCCAAAAAATTCTAACCTGCAGGAAACTCACTCCAACTTGCCCCAAACCACATGAATCTCACACTCAATGATCAAAATGTCCCTGAGATTCCCTCAACACCTAGTGGCCTCCTTTTAGCTGACCCACCATAAGCCATCCAAGGAGACCTAACTTTTGGCCTTCCATACACCCGTCAAAACGTCAGTCAATAAACTTGTACTGTCCTTTGTCACTTTATTCTCTGTGCTTTTATGGCTACTGATCATCTATCTGAGCTGTTCCCAAAGATCTCGCCTCCCCTTCCGGATGCCACACACCTCTTCCCGCCTCAGACGCTGGCTTCTCTTTGCTAACTCTAGCCGAAGTGTGGTCCTTCCCCGAAGGTGAGTCCTTCCCTGCCCACACCATCTCCCGCTTCACGGGACTTCACCTGTGCCTTGCAGCAGAAGACTCCCTCCCCGCCTGCTTCCAGCTCTCATCACTTGCTCACTTCAGCCCAGCAATCTGCGGCCGAGGGGACACTCCCTCCAAACCCACGTCTCACAAGCCCCTCAGACGGAAAGCCAAGCCTGCTGTTGGTCCTGAACCTCTTCCCGCTACGGCCGCTTCTCCACAGCATTCTCATTCCCCGTCTCTGAGGCTGCAGACCCACACCTTCCATCTCACCCCACAAAGAGCCAGTCTCTGGATCCCATCAATTCTATTTGCTGAAAGCTCTTTGTCCATCCTTCCTTCCCCTCCCTCCAGGCCCCTTGCGGAGCCTCTCCCCAGATGGTCTTCTAGGCAGTCTCTTTCTCTCCCTTTCCTCTCTTGGGCTCATTCACACCTCTGGCATTCAATCTTTCTGAATACGAACCTGATAGCATCTTTCTGCCCCCCTCCCAGCACTCACATTAAAGTCTCCAATCCTCAGAATGGAATTAAAAGTTCTTGAGGGAAAATCATTTTGACACTTACTGTATTCTGGTACTTTGTCTCTCCTTACACAATCTTTGAGAGCTCTCGTCCTATATAACCTCCCCCGGTTTTCTTCCCACTCTCCTCCTCCTGCCTCCTGACTTCCACACCTATCACTACTTGAGTGTGAGGGGTCCCTCCCCCAACTACCCACACCCCCCCCCCGTATCTACCTACCAGAGTCCTACCCAGCCTTTAAGACCCATCTCAAACCCCACCTTCTCTGAAAAGCTTTTCAAAGCCTCCGCCACTGAACTGGCTAGAGCATCTAACATACTCTGCCCGGGGCACGCACTTGGAAGCACCCACCTGTGCCCCCCACCCCCACAACGCCCAGTGGGAGGCTCTCTAAGTGGTAGGTGCTCAGTACACGTCCGCTGGATTGAATAGCATTACAGCCAAGTTGTAACAATCCTCATGGCTTTCCCAGTCCCCAGTATCACAACTCCCAACCAAGTCTCTGCCTTCAACCTGCTAACAAAAATAGCTATACAGGTTTCTGAACGTTTATATGAGTTCCTGGCCTGGTGCCAAGTGTTTATGATGCGATAGCCTATTGAAATCCCCAGCCAATCTGTGAAGGGTTAGTGGGTATTATTATTTGTCCCATTTTTCAGATGATAAAGTGAATTACTGACAGATTCAGTAACTCCCCCAGGGTCACCCAGCCAGGTAAGTGGCAAGACTGGGTTTGAAATGCAGGCCTGATGACAGAGCATGTTCTCAGAACCAACACTGAGTAATCCTTCTTGGCTGGGTGAACAGATAGAGAAGGATGGATGGGGTGGTTAGTGGATGGAAAGAAAAGAAAGAATCAGCTTCTTGCCTCCAGTTTTCAATCCAGTATCTATTTTGCTATCAAAATGAACTTTCTAAAAAGGGATTTTGCCATTCTAACCATCCCCTCCCCTGGTTCAAAGCTCTCTATGGTTTCTTATCCCCTTAGAAGAAAGCCTGATCTCCAAACTATGGCACAGAAGTTCCTCGAAGATCTTGAGGATCACCCTTGGCTATTCCTCCCAGCGGACCCCTCCCCGCCTCAGCCATCCACGACTAATGACAGATCCTGGTGCCATGTTGTCTCCCTTCCACATATGTCAGTGTCTCTCATTCTGAAAATACCATTTCCCCCTCCAAGCACCCTTCCAACATTTACTGTTCAAGACTAAACCCAACTACTCCCCCCATCACCTTCCCCCCATGCTCTGATCCCTCACTATACAAGAAGAAACCTTCGAAGCTATAGTTCTAACTCGGCAAAATCACTACCAGATGTGCTATGTAGCTAATACTCTTTTAAGAGGTACTCCATGATCCAATAAGTTAAGTGTCCAACTCTCGATTTCACCTCAGGTCATGATCTCAGGGTCATGGAGTGGAGCCTCCTCAGGATTCTCTCCCTCTGCCTTTCCCCCTATATTCATGCTCTCTCTAAAAATAATAACAATGATAATAATAAATAAGTAAATAAAAGGTTTTCCAT